AAAAATAGAGAGCGTTCTGAGTTATACACACTACGGCGCGCTCCCTACTTTCGGCTATAACTTTGACAATACTTTGAATATCGGTCTGAAATTTTCGGAGCATATTTTTGAAATGTTTTTCTTACGGAATATGTAAAAAAAAAAAATCGATTTTTTTAAACCGACACAGAGGGTACTACCTTAAGTTTAGTGTAGACTAGTGGTTCTCAAACTTTTTTGTCGTATCGCCCCCTTAAAATTAATTTCTTACCTGTTGATCTTTTTTTTTTTTACTATCATCACCGCAAACCCCACAGTTCACCTGGGGTCGTCATCGCCCTCCTCCCCCTGGACCGCTTCATTGTCTACCAGGGGGCGGTACCGCCCACTTTGGGTAGAGACCCTATAGGAGGGACGCGCCATGTACATTGCTGGGGGACAGGAACTCGTGTTATCACGTGATTGCGCGCGAAATATTCAAACATTGAAATAATTATGAAATAATGAATTGCATCAAATACAGAAAAAAATGAACTATATTTAATGATAATTAAAAATTTATATTAAAATAGAATAGGTTACACAAAAAAATTATTATAAATTCAATAAGAAAGATTCAATTAAGTTTGATTTGATAAAAGGCAATAAGTCTGTAAACAAACGATAAGTTATAAGTTAGATTTGTACATTTATACTTGTAATTATTAAATGAGTAAATTAAACTTACACTTATAGAAAACTACTAAAAAAAAAAAAAACAATTAAACATAAATATCACAATAAAAACTATAAGTATTCTAAACTTAAACTAACCACAGCCGTTAATACATACTAAAGATAAACATGGCTGCGCGATGCAACGGAAGCTGTCCCCCCACATTTTTAGCCTTGCAATCTACATGGCGCGTCCCTCCTATAGGGTCTCTACTTTGGGAACCACTGGTGTAGATTGATACCTATAGTCAAGATATTGTCTTGTATTTCTATATACACACAGCACGTGCTTTATGTCGATTCAAGTAAAAATTATTTGTGGTTTTTTGTTTATATACGGTGGTGATTGATATTAAATAACTGTGAATATCATTGAAAACATTAACTGTTTTTGAATATTAGTAATAAAAGTTATTAAAAATTTTTAATCAATTCTTTTTAATTTAAAATTTGTTGTAATAAGCAGGGTTTAGGGAGGAAAGGGGAGTCTATCTGTTTAATTCAAGTTTGGATTAATATTAGCAACTCATTTGTCAGTTTGTTAAAAAACTATTTTTTATTTCTTTTTTTTTTAAATAGGACAAATTATAGGCAACCGACATTGAAGAACTAAATAGATATATTAATTATTGTATTTTATTATCAGAGTCAGGGACAAATGGAATCGTCATCGAAGATGTCATTGAGTGGTTCGTCTATCACAAATGTTTCTGGATCGAGTGGATCCGGAAATGCAACATCTTCTACAGATAACAGCGATGTTTACGAGTTTAAAAGCTCGAAAGAACCAACCCCTGTAAGAGGCACGAGTTCTTCGCCAAATCCCAATCCTGAGAAGGATAAAGAAAATGGGAAAAATTTATCAGGCCAGATTGGTCAAAACAATAGTAACAATGCAACAACAAACAATAGTTCGTCGACTACAACTAATGATTCCAATACTGCTTCCTCTACCTCTGATGATACTGTATCAACAATTACTTCACCCAGCGCTAAGCGAGCTTACGAGGGTGATCATACCGAAGATCAAGATGAAGAAATTAAGAAAAAGAAACGCAAAGAAATGGAAAATGTAAAGGACGGTGCTAAAACACCAACTGGAAGACAAAATACTGGTAGAAATGCTACTAATACGGGAGATAAGGTAAACACTGCTAATATTTTTAATTCTTTCTTTATTCTTTGTTTGTTAGTATACTCACGATAATACAGGATGAACCAAACGTTCTTAGCTGATTTTTCAATTGTGATACATCGGTTCAAGAAACGATAGATTTAAATTCGTTAAGATCAATGTATTGGAAGATCATGTATATATTAAATAGGATTGATTAGCGATGACCTTCGCAATAACTAGCTCATCTCGCTTCTATAAACATTTATAAACTTTCAATCCTGCCGCAAAATCGTTATCTACGGTTGCACGAATCATACCGTAAATTAGACGTGAGATTTTTCATTAAAAATATTGTTACAAGTCATGTGTTAGTAGACGTGATTTTAAGTAGAGTGCATAAGATCTTAAAAATGTTGAAAGAGTTATTGATTTTGAATATTGCTTAAATACTTTTGTGATTTGCAAATGTTATTGTTTACTCTGTACAGTGTACAAAATCTGGAAAACAAAATTCCAATACTGTATCCGGAAAAAATAATCAAAACACGGTCTCCAATATTGCGGATAGAAAAAGTCCAAGTACAGCATCGATGGCAAGCAGTCCTAAACCTTCCAATACTCCTGTTGGTTCAACAACAAATGCGAAAACATCAACACCTGTATTACCTGAATCCGATGGAGAAGATGATCGTTCTAAGAGTTCTGATTCCGGTTCGGCTCCTAAAGTTCCACCTTTAAAAATAGTTATACCGCAGAGTACTACATCTGAACAAGAACAGGGTAATAGAAATGGAAAGAATACATCTAACAGAAGTCATCAATTGCCTTATGTCGTTCCTAGTTCTAATAGTAACGACTCTACGGATAAAGATCAAAATCAATCTGCTAGCGGTACAACTAGTCCTACTGAAAATGGAAGTGGAACTAAGGTTGATGATAAAAAAGACTTTACAGGTACTCTACACTCGGAAGAAAGGTCGACCCATCATCAAAGAGTTCTCAGAAGTTCTCATAGGTTAATAATATAGTAATAATCTAATTAATAAGAATTAATTGTGATCTTGTCGGTTGCAAAAGATAAACTTTATCAATTTGTTAATTTCTTATAACTATTCTTTATTTATTTTACAAATTGTATATTATTGATATTAATACCAACGCCATCATTACCGATTACTATTTTATGTTTATAGAACTGGTAATGGTAACAATGGTTCTGCAGCATCAAAAGAAGTGTCAGGATCTAATGCTGGCAATAGCAGCTATTCAAACTCATCACCTTTACCTGTACCTACAGCCGATCGGTCTAACAATTCTTCACCGCAACAAAGGCATCATTCTCCACCTCCTGAAAGCAACAATTCCGAGTCTAGTAAACCGACATCTGCTGAATCATCTAATAGTGGAACTGTAAATAAAGCAAGTACAGCTATAGAGAAGTCAGAAAAAAATACTGAATCCACAGGGAAAAATCAAAAAGATACGGGAGCAGAAAATACTGAAAATAATACTACATCAACTTCATCTACCAATTCTAATAGCAATGCTTCATCTGCCCCTGTCGAATTACATCCTAGAAAAAGAAAAATGAAACCTAGTAAAGAAGCGCAACAAGCTGCTGCTGTTGCTGCAGCTAATGAAGCAGCAGAAGCTAATAATGCAGGACCAGAAGTACATCCACATGATCAACCTATTACTAATTGTTATCAATTATTTTTGAATATTAGAAAACAGGTAAGAGTTGGAAAATAATTACGTATATTGTTTATTATTTATTTGTATAAAAATTTGGTATATAAAATAGTTAGTTTTATTTGTTTGTTAAATTAACAACAATAATAATGTATTTTTCAGATTGAAAGAAGAAGAAAAGGCCTATTTCCGGTTCAACCAAAACCTCCGCAAGGTTTTAAAGATTATTTGATGAATCGTTGTACATATGTATTAGCTGGAAATGTGAATAATGAACCAAATGTTAATCCACCAGTTAGTTTGCAAAGTCTTATGAAAGATTTGTATATAGAACAAGAAAAAGAGAGATATAAGCTTAGAATGCAACACGTCGTAGAAAAAGAAAAATTAGTTTTATCAGTTGAACAAGAAATCCTTCGAGTCCATGGTAGAGCAGCCAGAGCTCTTGCCAATCAATCACTTCCATTTTCAGTTTGCACCATTCTTAAAGACGAAGAAGTTTATAATGTTATTACGCCAGAACAAGAAGAAAAAGATAGAAATGCACGAAGTAGATACAACGGGAGATTATTTTTAAGCTGGCTGCAAGACGTCGATGATAAATGGGAAAAGATAAAGGTACCTGAACTTTGTTTACTTTGAGTAGTAGTACATATGAAGTTTGTTACAATTGAGGTTAAAACAAAATATTATTCTGTGCCTAATACTGATTTGATCGTCATAGTTTTGCGTATCAGTTTTTAAGAGCACAGTACATGTATGTTAATCTAAATATTTTTCAGAATGAACGTATTTCTTTATATTACAAATATGTTTTTTCTTTTCTATTGTAGGAAGTAATGCTGTTAAGACATCATACTGAAGCAGACTCTTTACATGCCATTCAAAAGATGGACTGGGAGTGGAAATTGAAAGAAGTTGGATTGTGTGAATTCAAAGCAACACCTCAAATAGAAGATATTCATGTACCAATGGTACATGTTTCGGATGACTTTGATTTATTACCTGCTTAGTATACACCGACTGAACTATCATTATATTTTAAGATTCAATTCTATATTTTTAAATTCACTTTAAGAATTTTGCTCTTCTGCACATTTATATTTTTCAATTCATTATTGGTTTAGTATATTATAAATAGATTCGAAGTTCTTACAATTAAGTGTGTGAAACAAGCTTGGAAAATATTTATATTGTTTTAACTTTTTTCCAAAAATTATTAATGAAAAATGTTCAAAAGTTTAATTATTTATAAATGTTAAATTTGTTAAGAAATTTATTTTCTTTTCGTTTATTTTATCTTCTCATTATTATTAAACTATAATAAAAAATGAAAAATAAAAAAACATTTACCATATCAAAAAACAAAAATGATATTTAATTTCGACATAAATTGGTTTGTACATATTATGCTATGTATCATAAATAAATAATAGTGTATAGAATCTTAAAAATAAGAAAAGAAAATGTGTATAATAAAGACAGATGTTTTCAGTATTTAATTATATATATACATACATATATATATATTTATCTTTTATTTTCAATCTTTTCAGATAAATTCTCTTCCATAGTTGAATTATTTACACTAGTATTGCTTAACTTATAATCTATCGGTTTATCGAATCCCATTATTCTATAATAATGATGACTATCATTGAAAAACTGATCATTAAATAACACCGGTCTTCCTTTAATAAGGCACGTTGTAAAAATACCAGTAATGTCTGGTACTACAACATCATCTGGTGTAAATTCAATCTGCAATATATATAAATATTATTTATAACTTGTTAACAAAGTATCTTCCTTGAAATTTATATACATTCAATAAAGAATAATAGAAAATATTTTTAATACTTTATTTTCACGAAGAAATATGGTGTAAGTTGTAGCAAGATATTTGTCTCTTTTAGAATCATAATAAATAACTGTTACATAATTCTTTGTTACTAGATGAAAAAGTATTGTCGTAAAAACCGAAGTGAATCCCAAAAAGATAGATCCTGCGATACCTGGCACACTGTCTAATGCCATAGCTTTTGAAATGATGTATGGTTGCACCGCAAGTGCACACACTGATGATCCTAAAGAAAATAATTTCACATTACGTACACGACTGTTTAGATTTCCTCGATAGATTTCTGTAGGTTGTTCTTCAGTAATTTTTTGATCATTATGAACAGCTCTCTACAAAAAATATATGTATATATATGGGTAGATATATATTTGTCTAAAATAGAATATTATAAGTTAAATATTAATCATTCGTTAAGATAAAAGTTATTTAAATAAATATTAAATTACCTTACTTATTTATGTACAAAATTGTAGAAAAAGTTAAAACATTTAAATACATCATTTACAAATTTGTATTCTAACCTTAAAATTTCTATCATGGTTCATATGAAGATAATTGCATCCCAAATATTTATTTTCTTGAAGAAAAATTTGACATTTATGTCGTAAATTAACTCGTAGTATCAATGACATTTTGCGATAATTTATACTATAACACAATTTTTACTTTTTAATTGAAAAACACGCTCACAGATACTTAGCACATCTTAATGTACTATATACAACTTGTGAATTATTATTTATTAGAAAGAATAATTATGTATAAATTTTATACACAATTAAAAGTATAATTTTTTCTTTTGATAATAATACTTATTACACAAAGAATCAATTATTTTATTTTAAAAAGTAGTTCAAATTTATTTACTTTATTTTCGATTGTTACACGACATATATTTTATATATGCGATCGACCTGCCACTTGATGAAAATGAATTGAACTACAAAATTTTTAACACATTTCTAAGTACAAAAATGAATGAAATATTTAAATTATGCAAGAAATACAAAAATAAAAAATATTATATTTAAACGTATTTCAAATTTCAGGTATTGGATACAATATTTTAATCACTTATTTCATCCATTTCAACATCAGACGTAACCGTTGTATTTTTATCTTTATCTTTATCTTTATCAATTAGTGACTTGTACCACTTAGTTTCTGCATCGTTTAAAGAATTTCCTCTACAAAATATTAATATAAGTATATTATGTAATCTCTCTATAAATTTATTTATTTATTTAAAGTAATAATATACTAACGTAGAATTTTTGTCAAACTGTGGTTTCCGTATTGGGTTCCATCCACTTATAGGCGATTCATTAGCTACCATTATACCACGTATGCAAAGAGACAAACTAAGTTTACTCAAATTAAAATCCTAAAAAAAGAATACACAATATTTGTATATACTAATTTTTTAATACGATAACATAATCATAAGTAAATTATACCTACACGCCATTCTGTATTCAGAACATCACCTAAACTTAAAACGTTAGCACTTATATCAGATTCCTCAATCAATCTAATAGTATTCATATAATTTTCATGAAGAAAATATAGGAATGTAGTTGATTGTGATTGAAAATATTCAGCTATTTCATCAGGATTATGAACAAATTTCCATGAATTTTCCTCTTGTATCCCTAAAATTTGATAGGTAAATATTATGATAGTATTATTATATTTTTAATACTTTTGATAATTTATATCATTTTATTAGTCTTACTTTTAGGATTAATAACTCTACCAATTCCATGTAATAATCCCAAACTCTCACTACGATTAGTGCATTCATTTTTCATCAGTTCTTTCGATACTATAATAAATAATATATATTCCCTTAGATGAATTTAATTAATTGATTTATGATTTTGATTAATAAATATTTTAACATAAATTATATTTACCTTTAAGTGAAATAAATATGATATTCAATAAAGTGTTACGAGCATCACCAATACTGTTAGATAAAATCTCATCGATATGTTCTTGAGTTATGTGTAACATATTTGCAGCTTTAGAATTTAATATCGGTGATACTCTTTTCAACATATTTTTCATAGCTACTTGTGTAACGGGATTAATACTGCAATGAACAAAAAACAGATTAATATATGTTGAAATATTAATTAATAAAAAAACTGAGGAGACGTTTACCTAATGAAATTGATATCAAATTTTTCTCTTATATGCGGTACGAATAGAGTGTGTAATAATTTAGAATTTCCTTCTGTATCTGTGCAGACAAATACTATAGGATCTCTTCCTAACTCAAAGTATTTTCTGAAATCATTATATTCATATATTTAGAAACTAATCAAATGAAATGATATGATGATAAGATGATTTGAAATATACAAAATTGTAATTAATATAAATACAAAACAGATAGTAAAAGCTTACTCTAACATCGAATGAAAACTTTCTTTATTTTCGTAGTATATGTTAGGAAAATCCTTAACTAATAAAAGTCGTTTAGAATAATTGGTTAATACTGAATTGTATCGAGTAGCTCTCACCATGAAGTCCACAAATTTATCACTCTGTGTTATTATCCTATCTGATTAAAACATCTATTTTTATAGGATCATATAATATTAAATTGAATTTCTTTTTTTTATTAAATTAATACTTACTATTCTCATCCATTAACTGATCTATCGAATTTATCCATTCTGTAACTTCATAATCACACTCTTTTGCTAATAATTTGATAGAAATGGTTTTTCCACAACCCGATGGACCAGAAATAACTAATACGGTTGGTTGTCCTCTATGTGCTTTGTTTTCCAACCAGTTTAAAATTTCTTGTTTCTTTTGCCTGCTAATAACTAATTCAGCTTGTGTTTTTGGTTCACAATTAGATAATAATGTTGATATATTATAAATATTTTTTCTTTTGTTAGAAATATTATGAAGAATTTCTATATGATCATTAGATCTTTGAGAATAATTTCTTTTCTTAATAGATTTTTCATTTGTAGTATCACAATCAAATGATGGCACTAGCCAGCCATTATTTAACTTTAAAGAAAAATTATATTTATGTAATTAATATGTTTTGTAAATCTTTTGATAAATATTTATTATAAATATATGTTAAAGATTATTTACCTTTTTATTACTCATGTCAAAACATTGAGTTTTCAAAAAATATATAATTATATTTTATACAACAATTATTTATTTAATGATTAATTAACAATACTGTATATAATTGTATATTTTCTTAGAATTTTTATAAAACACTTTATTAAGTAAAACGATTTTAGACAAATTACAAAGATAACATAACATAACTTGGAAATGCTTGTTTTGATAATCCAAAAGTTAGGTTAAGGTACACATAGTTATATATATCGAAACTAATCTTATTAAGTTACTAGTTCCTAAAGTACTTTTTTTTTCTTTATAACTGTATAACATAAGACTTATTCTAACAAAAAGATGGAACGAATAATCTGTATTATTTATAATATTATTATATTGTGTTTATAAATCAATTACAAATAAGTCATACTTTTCGTTTTAAGAAGCTATATAATTGTATTAAAAACATTATGTAATAAACTCTACATCACACATTGTATCAAATTAATTATTAAATTATTATAAATATGTACTTTATAAATTGTAATAAACACGTTAAATTGGTCAATATTAATAATTACAGTTGTTCAATTGTTTAAATTATTTAAGGATTAAAGTAATTTTTCTTCCCTCCGGGCAAAAAGCGTCAACTTTTCTCCCGCTGTTCAAAACGAAGTTGCCGCTTTCCGCTTACGTCGAGCAGAAAAAACGTATACTATTATAAAAAATTCAAAAATGATTTTTTCATTACAATTAAATCACATATGTATATATATATATATATTAGAATATATTTGAATTAGTTATTAAACATGCGATATTTCTTTAGTTACAAAAATGAAATAAATTTGTTTACCAAGAAAATAAAAATTTTTTAATTAAGAACAAGAATATGTATATATATATATATATAGAATTTCATTACTATAAATTAAAAATTACAATTCATAAATTAAAATCGTTTAAAGGATAATATTTTTTAATGAACTATCACAAGGGAACTGTAATATTGTGTTTGTATGTGCGTGTAACATTTGAAGAAACAAAATATATTTAAAATCATTTATAAATGTGCATATTTTAATGTTTTATAAACTTAATATTAATGAAGACTATCGTTTCAGTTATTAAAACTGTTGTTAGTAATTGGGTTATTTCTTATTTTGAGAAAACAAATCCTTAAGTATTATAAACAAACGAACATTACATTATTTATTGTTTTATAAATTATAAGTTTTTACCATTATCGAACAAAATATAAAGAACTTATGTTCATATAGCACATTAATTAATTACCTTATAACAAAATAAACTACGCTTTCTGTGAAACCGCCTCATTTGCACACATATTTATAATTGGCCGTAATTCTTGTTGAGCATAATCTTCTGGTAATGGTAATTGCGAGATTAGATAAATTAATACTTTCAGCATCGATGTATTTTCATTTGCCTGCAGTATAAGCAAATTTTTAGCTACGTGCAATGTTCTCTTTGCGATCTCGGCTTGACACAATCTGAAAATATTATTTAGATTATTTATATTAATATATAAATCGATTGTACACGTATATGTATAAAAAATAAATATAATTTTTACCTGTGTTTTGCAGTAAGACAAGGAAATTGTTCTATTTTTGAACATAATGACGTCAATCTAGGTTTCAACAATTCCAGTTTATAATTTATTGCACAAGAATCGGAAGAATTTAATAAGTTTTGAATTTGGGTGGTGATTTCTATATAATCCCAAAGCAATTGTCCTCGATAAGGCCAATTGCTAATTAAACTGCTACATTCTTCAGGTACCATTGGATTAAGCAAAGATTGAAGATACTCGTAATTTTCTGTTTAATTAAATTAATATGCAAATTTAATTTTACTCTAAAGTAATAAAATAAATAATTAAATTATCAAACAGAAATTAGAGTTTCATACCATTTATAATAGCATCGGCTGCTAAATGTTCAATAATAATTTCATGAGCCATATTCCACTGCTCTGCTTGTATAAAATACCATGCTGCTTCTCCGTACCTGAAATAATTAAATGTTATTTAATTAATAAGTATAAAAATATGAATGTTTAATATGATAAAAATGAATTTGTATTAAGTACCTTTTACTAACACGGCTTTTCATGGCTTTGGCTTGATGAATCCATGCCGATGGTATGCCTAACTCTTCTTTTAAAAATTCTTCTTGTTTAATATATTCAGGAATGTCATCTATCTCTACATGTCTTGCTAATAAATCTAATACCGCAGTACGCCTACGGCTAGCATCTTTTAAATGTAATATTACAAAAATAGCCCAATGCCATAAGCCATATCCTTCTAATTGAGTTGCAAAATTAATATGTGTCAATGCTGTTACGTATTCGGAAAGATGCGAATAACCCAAACTTAGTAATGTTTGTTGCATTAACCAACTGTAAAAGAAAAAACCAATCAGTAATTTATTTTAAATATAAATTTTAAAAAGAAAAGAAAATATATTCCTGGAAAATACCTGAGTCTGTAATCAAATGGATCTAGGGTATATGTTAATGGGTTCAAAACGTTTTCCATGGAATAGTTTCCAGTACAATATAATTTCAATATATGAAAGCATAAATCGTATACTGATTTTTTATTATTTATTTCTGGATCATATTCATTATTTTTATATTCAGGTTCCGGTATTACCGAATACGCTTCAGTGGGATCAACATTAAATGATCCTTCATACAGATCCAAAACATCTGTTATTGAAGCAGTTGGAGAAGACAAATACCTGTGGATAAATTTATCTAATTGTTAAGTAACTATATATATATATATATATATATAAATTGATATCTTAATAAAGTATCGTCTTACCATAAATGAACAGCTAAAGCTCTTTTCCAATCAAGTCCTTCGCAAATATTGATGGTACCATGTTTGCTAGAAATAAGAGGCTCGCCAGCTATCAGAGTGAATAACTTTAATCGATCCATAGAAAGATTTTCATCAACATCCAAATCTTGCCATACTGCAATTTGTTGTTTCACCATTTCTTTTACAGGCAATCCACTTCTCAATTGTGCCATTAACAGTGCTAAGCAGTGATCTCCAACTTTTCTAGCTATTTGACATGCTTCTTCCAATCTTAGTGCTTTTAAATGTTAAGAATATTATAATTAGCTAATTCATGTCCAAAGGACATTTGTTCATCATTTATATACATAAATATACATACCAGTAAGCAATGAAAGTATTATTTTATCATTTGTTTCAAGATCAACAATTTCTTGCTCTATAGTATCTTTAACAACACTTTGGAGCCATTCACCTACAGCTTCCCTTCTTACCATTACATTATGATGCTTAGCATTTCCTAGGGTAAACAGATTATATATATTTGAATTTTACATATCTAATTATATTTAAAATATAATATATATTTATAATGAAGAATATAAAATACCAGTGGATATGTTTATGTCAGGGAGATCTCCCCAAAGTGCCATACATAATTTAAATACTGTTTTAGTATATACCATCATAGGGTCTGAAGAAAACTGTTCAGCTAATTCTTGAGCTAATTTGCTATGATAACTCAAAGTAGTGCTAGCTGTTTCTGTAGCTACGTTAAAAGTTGGACAATCTCCTTCGTGTCCCATAATGCAATTAGCAAGCTGAATTTTTAAGTGTCCTTCTACACTTTCCTATGAACATTTTATAATATATATAATAAATAAGATCCATTTCTACATCCAAAAATATTTTATCCGTGTTAAAATATTTGTGATATATTTTAAGTTACCTTAAACATCTGAATATACTCTGGTTCAGCCCCATTACCTCCCAAAATTTGTAAACGTTGCACGACATTCATTGAAGTTGTATCACCTGGTATACGACCACATATGTAAGACCCTAATTGATCAAATGTACCCTGCAGTGGTATTTTAGCTGCTTGTTCTTGTGTACTCAAGGAAAGTAATGTCAAGCCCATACCCCAGCTTGATCTGAATATTCTTCCCATTTGTATACCTGTATAAATAATTATATGATAATTACGAAATTAATTAAATATAGGAATCCATAATATTTTATAGTAATTAAAATAAAAATAGATTGTTTTGTAAATAAGTAAAATATTCAATAATACATTACCAAAATCTGCTGCACAACGGAAGTGTAATTTTTTCAAAATAGATTCTGAAAGTGGAATCACTTCTGATTGGCATCTCATAACTTTGGTGATTGGTTTTATTGAAGGCTCAGGGAAAGGTTTATTAAAAAGGAATGTTTGAACATTAGTAATACTATTTGTTAATTTAGATTTTGAACCTGTAATAATAATTTTTAAAAATGTAGTTACATTAAATTACATTAAAATTGAAGTTAAGGTAAATGAAAAGATCTTACGAATAGTTGTCTCATAGAGCATTTGTTCTTCATTAGTTGATAATGATGTTTGGGAAGATATAAAATTAGATCGTAATACTGGGGTATAAATCGTCGAAATACTTTGTCGATCGATTTTGGAATCCATATTAAAAAATTTATTTGATAAATCTTTTCCTGGTAAAACTGGCAATGTTTCATGAACTGATTCTATGAAAAGAATTCATTTTTTTAAGTATTATAAAATTACACTATATTATTGCATTGTTTTTATCCTTTGTTTATTACTAATGATTATAAAATCTTACCTTGATCCATTTCTTCATCGCCTGCATCAAAAAAACTTGCTTTCATTAATTGCAATTTATGGGAATCCGTACCCGTAATTCGTGCATAAGCTGCTGTAGGACTGACTACAGATTTTTTCTCACCATTATAATGTCCTGTAAAATTTCATATTTGTTTAATTATTCATTATAATAATATAATATACAAAATGCTAATTCAAATATTAGAATTATAAATTATATAATAATCTTCTATTAAAAAATATGAATAATACTCACTGTAATCAGAAGAATCAGGATCCGTTCCTAAAAAATCACACTCCATTCCTGAAAGTCGTGTTTCTCCTGCTTTTAAGTTATTATCTAACGCGATAGCACCATTTTTACTCTATGAAACAAAAATTAGATTAGTTTCAGTTCACATATTACATTGTTTATGAATAATTACAAAAATAATTATTTAATTCTCACCAAAGATTTCTGTTGCTCCACTTTGTCAGGTAATTTTTGTTGCAAATTAGCTATTTTTAATTTTTTCACATCTGTTTTAGGTGGTACGTTATTATCTTCTTCATCTGAATCGCTTAAACCATATTTTGAGAAATGATCGACCTAACAAAATCAATTGAATTAATAAAAAAAAAGGAAAAAGAAAACGATTATATATTTGTATATATAAATATTTATATCAAAAATATTTAATTTACTTACCTTAAATACCCATGATCCAGTTTCTGGGCGATATTCAAGAAATTTAGTATCGTGTTTGGCTGATACTTTACGTAATTTTTCTTCGTAATTCATAGCAGCTATCCTATGTGGGTCGGTAATTGGTTCATGTCGAGTTTTATCGTGTGGCCATACTTTCTCCAATGTAACTTGAGCTTTTCGATTTAAACCTTGACCAATTGGTGGTTTTTTTTCATCATCCGGATAAATTATTACTTCTTTGTGTCGAAAGTGTACTACAAAATAAAATATATGATAAGAGAGAAGTGTGTAAAGAATAGATAAAAACTCTTGTGAATTAAAAATGTTTATAACTTTACCTATTTCATCTAAATTTAAACCATATATATCAAATGAATCTGGAAAATAGACATTGCCATATCCCTCACGTACTACAGTAAAGTTTGGTACTATACAAGTTTTAGCACAAACATCAACATAATCATCTAATTTATCGAGCGAAGGAATTGTATAATATCCCACTCGTTGGAGTGT